AGACAGAAAGCGAGAAATCACCCCCCAGGGGGGATGGTCACGCCGCAATCCCTTCTCCTCCATTCTCCTCTCGGGACCTTGGGCACGCACGCACACGCGCCCGGCGTGAGTTTTAAGCCACCGGGTCCGGGACACGAACCGCGGTCGACTACGTGGGAGTCCAGCGACATAGCCATTACGCTAACTGCTGGTTCCCCGTTTTGCTTTTAAGAGTTTTGTCATAGGGCATGTGTGCTCACTAGAGAGACAGAGAGAGAAAGGGAGAGGGAAAGTGAAAAATTACTCCCCAGGCGGTGATGGCCATGCATGCACACATGCCTGGCGTGAGTTTCAAAACACCGAATCTAAGACTTGAACTGTTATCAGTCATGTGGGAATCCAGTGCCTTAATCACTATGTTACCTGCTGGCCCCACCTGGTAAGTTTTTCAAGTCGCCAGGTTGGAACTTGAACTGCAAGGTCAGTCATGTTCCCCACCACCACACCACCAGCTTGCTGGAAAGAGGTGAATGTCTACCTTAGTCAAAACCACCAAAACAATATGCCTTCCCAACTAGAAGCAAATACTAGCCACCAGATGGCACTACTGAATCTTACAATCCAGCCGAAACCAAGTAGGTTTTCATTGAATGAGACTGTAAGGTTGTTCTAAAACAGGGTTCCTTGACCTTAGAAGCCATGACAGCTTGGCCCACACAATTCTTTATTATGGGAGGGCTGTGCTGTGCACTGTAGGATATTTCACAACATCCCTGGCCTCTACTCACTATGTATGTCAGTAGCATTCTCTCAGCTACGACATACCAAAAACATCTCCAGGTCTTGCCAAATCACTCATTAAAAACAAGTGCTCTAGGGATCAGCAGTTAGTGTAATGGCTATGTCGCTGGATTCCCATGTAGTCGACCGTGGTTCGCATCCCAGATCCGGTGGCTTAAAACTCATGCCAGGCACATGTGCATGTGTGCCCCAGATCCCAAGAGGAGAATGGAGGAGAGGGGATTGCGGCGTGACCATCCCCCTGGGGGGTGATTTCTCACTTTCTGACATCTCTCTGTCTGTCTCTGTCTGGCGAGTGCACTCGCCCTATAGCAAAAACCTCTTAAAAAAAAAAAGAAAAGAAAAGAAAAAAAAAAAACCGCTCTAAAGCAAGAAAGAATTATCAACCACTGTTCTAAAATCAAAGTACTGAAAACATCAAGAATGTCACTTATTTCTCTTAATTTCACAAATACAGAGGCAAGTCTCATATTATCTAACTCCAAGATCTTTAACAACACTAACAAAACCAAGCTCAGTATTAAGAGTTCTGAAGATTAGACCTGTTCAAAGAGTTCAGGAAGGATGTCGGTAAGTGGCTTAACTCTACAGTTTAGTAAATACTTAAGAACCATAACTGAGATCAATAGTCTCTTAACTGAACTTAGAACTCTTTTTCAAAGGACAGGCATCTTATCATTGAGAAAAGAAAGATCGAGAGCTACAAGTCAAAAAGTTGTATTTATATAAAGGAGAGCTTACCCAAACGTTTTCTGGGGCTGAGAGGCAGAATTTTTACACTAGGAGAATGAGGTGTGGCTGAGACATTTGTTAGTTCTACTTTGGTGTCATTTGAGTTTTTAGTTTTGTCCAAAGTCCGAGACAGCTTCTTTTTTGGAAAGCCGATTGTAGCCTGTGCCTGGGATCGGGTTTGAGGCATGATGGTGACTCAGCTGGGCATGAAAAATAACAGGACAGTCAGTAAGAATGTAAAAGTTAAGGGGAAAAAAAAAAAGCCCATGAAATTTATTTAAACTAATGATCCACATTCACTCCATAAGCAAATTTAACAAAACTTTTACCATTCCATTCTGCTTCACATCCAAATCTATGCAATAACAGCTAACGTTTGTTGTCCACCTACGTTAAGATGTGGTTAAGAGTTTACATATTCAATCATTTAAGTTTTACAACTACCTTAGAGGTAGGTACTATAAACTCCATCTTACAGATGAGAAAACTGAGATGCACGGAGGGTCAAAGTCACAGAAAAACCGGGGACCCAACCCGGACATTTGGCGCGGGAGCCTGAGATCGTAACCACTCGAGGATGCAGTAAGAGTTTATCTTAATCGATTTCTATAGTACTGTAATCGCCTCACTCCAGGCACGCGGGAAGGCTTTATCACGTCCACACTGCGTCTGTCCCAAGCCCTTCCGCTGCCCCCGCTCCACACAGCTCTCAACCCCACTCGGAACATTTCCTTCCTACAAATCTAGCTCCTCTGTACCACGGACAACTGTCAGAACGATCCCCCTTCTCAGACTCCAACCTCAGGCGATCTCGCCTCTTCCCCTCACTTCCTCTCAAGACTCGCCGGAACCCGCCGACCTCGCCCGGCTCGGCTACCTCGTCCACCCCAGGCCTCCCTGAACAATCCTCTCTTTTCACCCTCATAGGGCTGTCACCTCAGCGCAGGTCCCCTCTCACGGCTCTCACACAGGGCCTCAGGGACTCTCCGCCACAGGCTCCAGAGCAAACTCACATCCGCAGCAGCCGGCTCCAGCCAAACTCGCGCCAAATGTGCACCGCCTCAGCGTTCTCGCCTCCCGCCAATGCCCCGCAGCGCTTCTGATTGGCTGTCGTCACAGAACTCCGCGCCTAGCCCTTAACTCCTTCCTTCGCGTCCAAGCCAGTCGGGTGGCCCAAGAGCCAATAAGAGTGCCCCAGGTCTGAGAACCAACGTGAGGCCACACCCACAGAGCCGGGAAAGCTACATCCGGGCCTCCGCAAAAAGACGCGGGGCAGCAGAGGGGGAGGCTGGGTAAAGCAGGCGGGCCACGCCGCAAAGCCAGGCGGGAGGTGTAGTCTTTGCCCCAAGCGCGCTCTTCTTTCGACCGGAAGTGTCAAGATGCAGTGGCCCCTTCTGTCAAACGTACCTTTTTTTTTTAATAGAGGTTTTTTCCTATAGGGCGCGTGCGCTCGCCAGAGAGAGAGAGAGACAGAGAGACAGAAAGCGAGAAATCACCCCCAGGAGGGATGGCCACCCCGCAATCCCTTCTCCTCCATTCTCCTCTCGGGATCTTGGGCACGCACACGCCCGGCGTGTGTTTAAGCCACTGGGTCCGGGACTCGAACCGCGGTCGACTATATGGGAGTCCAGTGACATAGCCATTATGCTAACTGCTGGTCCCAAACGTACCCATTTTCATTATCCCGACAGCTCTGTATTTTCAGAGCTACTACGTTGATACCTACCATTTTCCCGCGTGGTTGTGTATCAGGCATGATGCTAAGCATTTTACTTATCTAATATTCAACACGGAAAGACACAAAGCAAAGAGGTGCAGAGGGCTAGAGGTCACAGCATATTGGTGGCAGTGAAGATTCAGGGACCCAGATCCCCTGAAACCTGACCCAGTGTTTTGTCTTTGTGTAGTTGTATACACAAACTACACAGCATCTCTTAATTTGTGCTTCAAAGGAGAAATAGGATCAACCCTTTGCCTTCATTTTGCTCAAAGAAAGAATATTGTATCCTGAGCACCTTCTATTAACCCATACATTGTGGGGTGAATTATGGCTGCTTAATTTTCAAGTCTTTTATGACTGAACACTAGGGTTTCGGGCCAGGAACATAGCTAGAGAAGAGGCAAGCTGAGTTTTTAATGAAAAATATAAATTAGAGCAGTAATTTTCAGGTCATCTTCCAAAGCTAATAACCCATCTAAGCCTCAAGTTCCTTTAAAGACCAGAGCCCAACTCTAGGTGACAGTAAACATTTATCTTTTACCCTTCAATATCTAATAAAACAGAACCATAAAGCCAAGAAATAGAAAAGCAACAGTATTATAATCATCAGTTAATTGTATTTAATTCATATAGGAGGTAAGAACCAATATTATATTAAGTGCTCGAGTGTATGCCAGGGACTGAACTCAGTATTTTGCTATCACCTTATTAATCTTCACAAGCACCCCATGAAGTTGATATGCAGTAGAGGGACTGAGTAAACTTGCCCAAGGTCAAACAAATAGTAAGTATAAGAGTTAGAATTCAATTTCCAAATTCTGACAGGAAATCAAACTCTTGATCACTTAATCATAGGGGGATGAATAGATAGATTTAAATTCTAAATAGGAAGAAATGGTGGAGCGCATTTTCGGATGACTGTCTAGCATCTGAAAACTACGAAAGAGAATAAGCTGTCTTGAATGGAAAGATGTTACCACAGAATGGAGCCTTAAAGACCAGATGGTAATTGTAATTTAAAAAAAAAAAAGATTTATTCATTCATCCATTTTAATTTGACCAGAGAGGCACACACAGAGAAAGAAGCAAAGTGAGAAAGCAAGCCACCAGGTCCACGACTCGAACCATGGTCAGCCATGTGGGAATGTCCAGAGCCTTAACCACTACGCCACCTGCTGGGGCCCAGTAATCATGACTTTTAATTGCCAGAGGGCTCACGCAATCACCAGAGACAGATAGAAAACTGCAATCTCTTCTGTTTCTCCAACCTGTCGAGATTTGAATCACACGTGCACACATACCATCGCAGGGCTGTGATTTCAACCATGGTAGGTCATGTAGGATCCGGTTCCCTTAACCACTAGGCTTTTGGGCTGGCCCTCTTAAATAACCTAAAAGCATCCTGTATGTGCTGCCACCTTAAGCGATGGTGATGGTGAATGACCCGTTAGAGCAGATGGAGATCAGAGGAAGCTGTAAGTACTTAATATGCATATAGGAGCCTAAGAAAAAACTCATAAGGAAAGAAAGCACCAGCCCACGAAAAGCTTACAAGGTAAATGACCTCTGTGAAAACAGGTGAAGAATCACAGAACGTCGGGATTGAAAGGTCTCTAAACGGCTATCTGCTTGGAGCTTTACCTTCCACTAATAATGATCCTCCAGTAACGTAGATTGCACCCCATCAGTTGCTACTGTACCTTTGTTCCCTAGAACAAAGAATGTCACTCGCTATTCCTCTTCCCTGGCTGTCTCATTCAGCCTTTTAATACTCTGCACAAGTTTCTCCTTGTAGCTGTCCTCATTTAAATTGTGAGCTCGTTGGGGGGCAAAGACCATATCTTATTCATCTTCATATTACAGATGCCTGGTACAAAGTAAAATACGTAATGCATGCTTGCTGAAGGAATGAAAGGATATTCCTGCTAAGTGGACATCCACCTTTGTGTGAAGACTTTTTGTAACTGGATAGCATACAGAGTTTAAATCTCACACCTCTAAACCTAGGAGTGGAGAATGAATTCAATGATGTGTAAAAACTGATCCACACTGTGCTCCAGTGATGCCAGAGGAGAAGTATTTCTCCACAGATACCCTGTGGGGTGGCCAGGACCTTGAGGTTGGCATTTTAGTTCTCTTACCTGTTTGCAGAATACTAGAAGTCGAGACCAGCAGTTGGTGTAATGGCCACATCACTGGTTTCCCATGTAGCCGACCACGGTTCAAGTCCTGGACCCAGTGGCTTAAACTCATACGTGCCCAAGATCCCAAGAAGAGAATGAAGGAGAAAGAATTGCGCCGCAGCCATCCCCCCTGGTGGGTGATTTCTCGCTTTCTATCTCTCTGGCTTTCTGGTGAGTGCATGTGCCCTACAGCAAAAACCTCTCCAAAAAGAAGACATTACTAGAAGTCAGAGACAGGGAGTTTTCTTCCAGTGAGTGGCACAGTTCATAGCTGGTCTGGGCTGGGCAATACTGAAAAGGGACAGTCATGGCAAGCGGCTGTGTCCCAGTATTAATTACAGTGAGCAAACCAGTGTCCTTGTCACCTAGTTCATACACAGTATCATGGAGGAGGAATCAAATCACACACAAGGATCTATCTTGCATCCTTCCATTTGAGTGCATACATACACACATACAGATCAGCAATACCACTGCATTAAAATAAAAATCTTTTGGGCTAGGTAGCTGAAGGCAAGCTCCATTTGTGGGCTATTTAAAATAGAAGGAACAATTAAACCAATAAATAGGTAGTTTATTATTCATATTAACAACAATAAGGGGTCAAATAATCAGGATTCAGCCAGTCTGGTAAGTATGAATAAAAATGAAAAGGGTGCTTTTTCCCCCTCCCTCCCTTACCCTCATAGGTTTTTTTAATCTAAATTATGTAAGAGTGATTCATATACACACCCATTATGAATCAGTATGGGAAATAACTTCAAGACCTTTGCTAGTGATGAAAGTGCAAGTCAAGCTCATTAAGCCTTAGTGGTTATTACGTCAGTTGACCACAGTAAGCAGAGATGTCTTGTTGAACTTTTACAACTAAAGTCAAAGTTCAAGAAAACTGGCTAAGATTTCAGGTTAAAAAGCAATGTAGAAAAACAGCCAACGCCCACGTAAAAATACAGAGACACAGCCTGTAGGTCCTGCCCCACCTTTCCCATTCCTAAATTTGAGACTCTGTCATGCAACAGAAGCAGAAAGAATCATAAAGAATATAAGGAAAAGGACACAAGGCCAGAGGGCCTTCTGGGCTTTTCTAAATCAAAGGCAAAGAAGAGTTAAGTGGCAAATATAATAATCGTCAGAATTTCTTGGTGAGTTTGACTAGTACCATGATTTTCAAAAACATAGTAGGAAGGGAAAAGAGAAAACCCTTTGGAAGCTGCAGATGCTTCTGCCCAAGTCAGTATATCTACTTCTCAGGGGACCTGAAATCAAACCACTTACCTAGAACATGAGGCAACAGATTGTCTCCCCTTTCTATGCCACCACTTGGGGCAGGATTCCAGACAAGAGTACACAGTTTTGTTTTTTTTCTTCATTTTTAAGTAAGGTTTAATTAAACTGCACGGCATCCAGAAGAAAGAAATGTACCAAAGAAGCCAACCTGAGACCAAGATAATACATTTCAGGTGGGGGGGATGGGACTCATCAGGGTTATTTAGGAGTAAGGAGGACTGTAATCAGAGTATCACTACAAAACAAATCATACAATTTTTTTTTAAAGAAAATGATCCACATGCAGATGGATGGGTGCACATGTACACGTGCACACCTGCACACACACACACACGTCATCTAGTCCTTTATTCAGTGTTGACTTCCATACTGGCCACCATAGAGAGGTCAAAGGTCAGACATGAGCACAGAAGGCCCCTCTGCCACCAGTGGAATGAGATTTAAGACAAATAGAGAAGGAACCCACCAAGTTGTCAGGAGAAAGAACAGGAAGAAGGAAACAACTGTTATCAAGGAAGATTTTAATCGCTTCAAAGAGGGAGAGGAAGAAAGCACAGAAATCTAACACAAGTAAAGGCACAATGAACGTGGAGTTTAATGGAATCAAACCCTTCCTTCGGTTAAACAGTTATCCTTTTTTTTCTTTTTTTGCATGTGGTTTTGAAAACGGTAGTAGTTTTGTTTCATTTGTTTTTAAAAGATGAGTCTTGAAAGCAGACTTGTAATGGCCCTCCTCTCTCCCCTCCCATCCCCTAGATTAGGGTGTAGAAAGCCACCTTAACCACATAACCAGGGATTGAGATGCAAAAGGGAA